AATGAGAAAGCTGGTCAATCAACCTTTGCTTCAGCTGTTGATTGTGGTTCACAATCATCACAAGCCCTTCCTTAGTTAGATTACGAAGATTTTTCAAGGGTTTACTAAATTAACAAGGAGGAAAATTACCTGATGAGATTTAAGATATGCCTAGACTACATGATAATTGTAACGAAAAAATCTCCATATAACATGAAACTTACATTGAAAAAATAGCATAGCTTTCTCCTGCTAACAGCTCTTGTATAGGACTATTCCTAGGCTATGCTATGGTTTAAGACTAATACCAAAAGTTCCAAGTTCAATTATTAGGAATATATCTGTTTAGTCCTTGCAAGAACAAGCCTACTATAGCCAACTTGTTACATAGCCAAGTAGGCCTACATGTTATTTTTACTTTACAAATTTCAACATGTTTAAATTAAAAGCCGATTTCAGGATAAGTTGCTGAATATATACTGTTTTCTGTACCAACTAGGTTGAAGCAAAATTTGCCCTATGCATAATGGAGTGAAAATTTAAAAACGTACGTTTTCAGGAAAAGCACTTTTAAAATTTCTTGTTCCGTTTTTTGAAACTTTTTTTATTTTTTTAATTTCATTGACATTTGAAGTTTCATAAAATGTCCATGGTAACGCAATATCTTTGGTGATTTTTTATTAATAGAGCATCTTTGATGGAAAAACACGAAATTATGTCACGACCATCACGGACATCAAACTGAATATTAAAAATAGTTAATATTATTTTTGTAACTATGTTTTGCTATTAATTAATTTACTTTTATGACCATCATACAATAAACAGCTCACTAAGCTTTTGGTATATATGGTCTTTCTAGAAAAAAATAAAAAAACCCAAAAAGTTGAAAAAAAGCCAATAAAATCTTTTTAAGTTTGTATAACTTCGAAAAAACTTACCTGAGACCCGAAAAATCGTTATGTTTTTATAGAGGTGTACTTCTTTTGTGTATAAAACATTGAAATATGATGATATTTTAATTTTTGAAATTTTTATGATAGAAATCATCAACGTGATGGTCAGGGACAAGCGGTACGGTCGTGAATTGTTTGAAAAAAATTAAATCTTTGTAAACAATCCTTCAACTATACTGTTAGTTATAGTAAAAATATGTGTTTCAATTGAACTAAACTGTTCAATTAACAATGATATTTAAGTTATTGTCACGACCAAACACAGTATAATCCATAAGGCTGGATTGGTCGTGAAAAAACCCGCGATGGTCGTGAAACTTTGGTCGGGACATTACGTGTTATTTGGCTCTGTTCTGGCGGTAGCCCTGCACCTCATGTTCGAGGATACAAAGTGGACTTCTAGGTTAATGTAGCAATATAAATATCATATCAACAAAAATTAACCCCACGTCTACTTCATCAAATGACTATGTATGGTCATGGACACACCAAAATTACAAAAAACACAAAATTACCTTTATTAATCTTGTAACTACTTCTTTCAACACAAAACAACCGGCACAACAAACTTGACGTACACCCCGAACTAGTCTCTAAAACGAACTGACGCAATCGACGCCAGGCTTGCCACTGTCGTGCTCCAAAGTTGAAAATTTTTCCCAAATGGTCGTGACGCCAAATCGAGGGACAGACTTATTTTGTCATGGTAGTCAGTTTGCAATGACACTAAAATTATAATATGCTCCTTTTTTGTAAGTTTAATAACTATTGATGACATAAAAATATGGCTTGATATATTTCGGCATAAATAATTAGTCTAAAAACAGCGTGAAAGTTGGAAAATGTACCCTAGGGACACGTCATGGTCGTGAATTTCGAGACTTTAAAAATACGAAAAAAATACCTAGAACCTATTTAAAACCAAATAAATGTGTGTAACATGTAGCCCCCGTCCCAAAAAATATTAAAATACATAATAATAAACTACAAATCCAGTATCTACGAAGTAAAAGGCCAGGGACATGAAAACGTACGTTTTTAAATTTTCACTCAATGACAATAAAGGACGATTTCTTGACATTGAAAAGTGTTATTCATAGAACAAGTAACTTATCACTATGGTTAAAAGTTATAGCAATGTCGTTTTTAACATTAAAAGTAAAGAAAGGCAATAAACTCCAATTTCAGTAGGCTAGGCTCTGTAACACAAAAAGTATTTTTAAATAATCATTTTACAGTTTTATTATTGGTCTTAATTGATGATATAAGACATCTATACTAAATGAATCTATATTAAATAAATAAAATTAGCTTTTAAAATATAGTTTGGATGTATGTCCTTTGAACTTAATGAAATTTACATTTAAGATGCTTAAAAATAATGCAATATTTAAAAATAAGTAGCCTACTAAATATGATGGGACACCCAACTATTTGGTTCTGTTGTTGTAATGTTAGGTTTATAATGCCAACAAATTAAATACAATCTAGGAATAATTAGTTTTCCAAGTAATGTTAGATACAATACTGACATTTTTTTAAATGTTTGTTCAATATGTAAATGTAGTTGCAATTAATTTTACATTCACGTAATGTGCGTGGAATAAAAAGTAACGTCTTTGGAAAAGTAGCTAAAATTGTAGCTGTAGCTACATTTCATTGTAGCTGTAGTTGTAGCTAGCTACTTTTTCGTAACTGTAGCTGTAGCTGTAGCTAAGCTACTTTTTTGGAAATGTAGCAGTAGTTGTAGCTAGCTACATTTTAAAAGTAGCTTCCCCAACACTGACTAGGAGTACGCTCCGAAGTCGCGTATGAGAATGAACGAAGACAATTCCATGTATAATCTGTCTTTGGCCCCTCACCCTGCCCGTGGGGCGCGGCTCCCTGCAAGTTTGTGCGGCGGCAGTGGCCAGACTAAATGCGATTTTTTTGTACTAGGGGCGTAATGCTCTTTTATTTTAGAAATAATTCTAATGCCGCATTTATCTATCCAAAAATCAAATATAAATACAGTAGCATAAGCTCTACTTTTGTCTATCATAAATTATAACGTCAGTATGGTGTTTGTTACGTTTTTTACTGGGGATGTTAATCCAAACCTTGGACTTGTTAATTAATTCACAAGGTAATAATTTTTATAGCCCCAAGGCAAAAAGTAACTAGGGCCAGTTTTACACTAAAAATTGTCCAACCTAGGGCCCGTGCCCCTGGACATTTGCCCCCTCAGGCCCCCTCACGGTGGTCCTGTAATCATGTGACAGAGTGATTAAAAATCATGGGCTGAGTATCACTTCCTTAGGTTAATAAAGAATTATGAACATATTTTTTAACCTAACGAATTCTATTATGCACAACCAAATTGAGAGTGATATATGGCCAAATAAGTTGAATGTATTTCAATGTATTACTGTACAGTACCAAAAACATTAATTGCTCTACTACTCTGCTTAGTAACAGAGTCGTTACTAAGCTAGCGAACTATGAAAGGTTCGTTGAGGTTTTGTATTACAAATTACAACAAAACTTTCAGACAATAACACATACGAACCCCTCCAGACAGGCCCAAGCTATATTATGCCATTGGCTTAAATTAAAATATAATTTTTTATTTATTATGGTGCTATAATGTGTCAATGTTGCACAATAAACCCCTTTCTGTGACATGAAGTTTAACCACAAAAAATATTAATATGAATTATGTGCGAGGATATGTATAATTTATGATTTAAAATACTCCCTTATAGTTTTGTTATAAGTGATCTGATTTTTGTTTTTGAGTTTCCGGTAGCGTTTTATTGCGCTATGTCACGGCCGCCTTTAACTCCAGGCCGTGGTCTTCGAAGTGGCAACGTCGCAAGTAGGGTTGTAACAGCAGCTGTTTTGTTTGGAAGCAGCTAATGGTATTTGTGTATTTACGAAAGCTTGGTTACTGGGCTATGAAGATATTGATTCCGCTTTAAATGTACGGAATAGATTTTCAATTCATATTATTGTTTTATTTTTTTTTTTCAATATTTTAATAAATTTATGTTCATAAATTTAAATTAAAATAAATAAAATGAGAATTAATGAGCTGATGTCACATGTCTGCCATGTTCTCTTATGGGATGTCTAACACTAAACAGCCCTATTTGCAACGATGCCAATTCTACCTGCCCGCGGTCTGGAGTTAAAGGTAGCCGTGGCTATGTGCTTGTCTTATTTTTAGGGTGGGGTGAACTTTGATTTTGTGGGCTTTGCTCTTTGATCCACCTAAGCATTAGTTTTAACTTGTATTGTTTTTTGTTGAAGAAACGTATTTTACAGCTGACAAAAGAATATAAAAAATAGTATACACTCACACCACACTCACCATACTTACCACACGGTCACCTTTAACTACATGCAGCGGCCTGGAGGTGCTGGAGCATGGCTGCCTAAAAAGGTTGCCGTGCCTGGAGTTAAAGGCGGCCATGCCAACACACACTCTATGTTTTACAAGACCATGATCAAAACTTTTCTAAAAAATCTTTTCTACAAAGATTATAGATCTATATGAAATCTTTTTCATTATATCCAAACTAGCTGTTACCCACGGGCTTCACCCCGTTTGACTTCATAATTATTAATAAAATTATTGATTGGCTAAGTTAAGCTGAAATAAACAAAACAGAATACAGTAATACAAACAAATAAGTACAGCTGAGGTTTTAACATTAGGTATATGGAAAGTTCCCTTTAGAAAGAAATTACGACCTTAAAGGGCAATTTATTAAATGATGGATAGTTTTGCGCAAGGTTTCCCGTAATGACGAACATTTTAAGTATATGGTTTATGGGGGTGTGACTTGTAGTTTTCTCAAAAGTTCATTGGTACTTTTGGCTTTATATATAAATATTTGCAGTGTACAGATAGAAGATTTACATATTGTTCCTAAAGAATCTATATTATCCGTGCTCAATGGCACTTTACCATGTGAAACCAAACAAATTATAGTATAGTTCTTTTTCTCTATGTCTGTATGCAATGCAATCATTCCTTGCCCAATAAATAAAACCTAGTTGCAATGCAATATAGTAATGGTTTGATTTTTTGTGGTGGACTGTGGACGGCGTTGTCTCTTTACTATAGCAAATTAATAATATTTTGATTAATATAGCTACAATAACATTATGCTCTCGTTGTAAACGAAGTAATTATGTTCGCAAGTGATAAAATTTGAAGCGGTTGATGTTTTCATAGTTTGTTTCCTCGTGACGTAAGTAACAATTGTATCTGTATGTCCTAGTTACTTGTTTTAGTGCCCTGCTTTACTACATGCAGGTATAAAAAATAAAGTTTAAAATTTATTGAGGTCTGTAGTAGATGATTTATCTTTAAAGGCTGGTAATAAATATTATTAGTACCTTTTTAATGACTTAGGTATAAAAAATGTACTTCTATACCGTAAGTTACCCTTGTGTAGCCTACCCTTAGTTCAGTTACTTGAACTAAGTTAGACTTTTCTTTAGGCTACCATAGGAAGCTTAGGATAGCCTAGGCTAGTGAGTAAAACATCCCCTATTAGGCCTAGACTATTTTCATTTTATGGCTAACATTGAAAAATTCAAGTCATTTTAAGTTTAATTGGAAGAGTTCTTTATTATTGCTTGTCTTAGGCCTAGCACAAAATAACTTTTTAAGCTAGGCCTACCTAACTTACACTAACTCGGACAAGGGCAAATACAGGCACAACTTTGATTGAGCTTAAAACTTAGCCTAATTAGCCTATATTCTACTTCGCCGGTAGGCCTATTACTGATTCATTTATTTATTTAGGCCTATTCTTTCAACGGTAACACAATTTTTACATTCAAATATATAAGTTTACATTAAATAGGATTAAGTTAAATCACTTTATATTAAACATAGCATACCGGTAGGCCCAAAAATTAGGTAAGTTAATTAAGTATGTGCAATAAGTTAATAGGAATAAATTAGAAAGCAGGCATAATTTACCTAACATTAAAAAGACAAAGGCCCTAACCAGTATAAAAGGAAAAAAATACATTAGCCTACATAGGCTGAATCACTTCAAGTGTAAGTGTTTATGCATAACATACATAGGCTAAACATAGCATAATTCATTCATTCATTTCCGTGTCCGGAAAAAACACCGGCTCAGTTAGATATTATTTTTCCAATAATCTGCCACATATATGGCTTCGTCATTTGCCTCCTTAAGATCAAGCCAGGAGCATGTTCTGTCCATATCTGGACAAACTAGTAGATGTTCATGGTCCTGAGGGGCCCCACATGTGCAGTTTGGTTCTCCTTCATAGTACCCCCACCTCATGAGGTTTACTTTGCACCTCGAGACCCCACTTCACAATCTGTTTAGGGTCGTCCATGTGGGGTAAGGCAGGTGAACACCAAGCGAGAACCATGAATACCGGCAAACGGCTTTTATCAAAGCCAACTTTAAAAGCATAATTAAAAATCAAGAATCAATATTTTATTGTAGCCTACATGCATTTGGATACGTCAATAAAGTTGATTACATGCTGCAAAAACACAAGTCAAAGATAAATTACAGTAGGCCTACATAACAAATAAGGCATAAAAAAAAATCAAATAGGCCTAGATACAAAGGTCATTTATAATAGATGGCACAGTGAAGACTACGTTATACTTACAGAAAAATAGGTAAACTTACAAGATATAATTTAGTGAAAAAAAAAGAAATAGGTACCGTACTTAGAACAAGGCAGTGACTAGATTACAATTTCTTTGGTTGAACATTCAAAAAATTCTCCCAGCCCATAAAAAGGGTGCACCCTACAGTCAGCCACAGAAGAATTTTATTTTTGAAGGCTTTGTTGTTTAATAACAGTAAGTAATTTCCTTGGGGAGTTTATTTAGGCATTTGAGTCCCGGCAGTACTTCATAATAAGATTTCATTTTTTCAAGTCTAACATACAGTAAGTGATGTCAATTTTACCTCTATACCTACTAACATCACCCCTAAGAGTATGGGATTTCAGGTTCTTAAAACTACTAGTCAAAAAAATGTTATATAAAAATAAATTAACAACGGTCAAAATCTTAAAATCAACAAAAATTGGTCTGCAGTGTTCCTTGTGATTGGCATTTGCCATGATCCTGATCATCTTTTTTTGTATTAAAAGAACATCAGTGATGTAAGGGCTGCTGCCCCAAAAGATTATTCCATACTTAAGGGCTGATTGGAAAAGTGCAAAATAAGCAGTTTTTATATAGTCAAAAGGAACAACATCATTGAGTTTTCTGAAAAGAAATGTCAATCTACGTAGTCTAGTACAGAGATGTTCAACATGATATGACCATGACAGGAGTTGATCCACATAAACACCCAAAAACTAAATAACTTTGACCTTGTCACATTGTGCTTCAGGAATTTTAGGAAGTCCAAAGACAACAGTTTGGGGTTTCTCACTGTTTAACAAAAAACTATTCGCAGAGAACCATTCTGCTGCTACCTTTACTGAGTTTTTTGCCTCAAGCTCAAGAGATCCTAAATCTCTGACTGTGTGTAAGCAAAGTTGTGTCATCAGCATAAAGGTATGTGTTACTTGAGACTGGATGGAAGATCATTTATTGAGATTAAGAATAGCAGAGGGCCCAAGACTGAGCCTTGTGGTACCCCACAGTTGCTTAAGGCAACTGCGGACCACCGACCCCCACTGCAAACCATCTGTCTTCGGTTACTAAGATATGTCTTCAGGCTATTCAGGTTATTCAGACAATTAGGTACTAGGTAGGCCTAAAGGCTACTAAAATATGCGCAATAAATAAGTGAATGAATGTGAAAAGCAGGCATAACCAGCAAATAATATAGGAAGCATGTAGTTAACAACAGGTTTAAAATATGAAGTGTAAAAACATAAAAAAAATTAACAATATGCAACTGAGATACATAGCAACAACTAGAAAAAAGGAAACGACAAGTGCAATACCAGTAGGCTAACAAAAGTATGGTAAGATACATCCTATCCTACTAATATTATAAATGAGAAAGTTTGGATGTATGGATGTATGTTTGTGACAAGTAAACGCATTAACCACTGGACGGATTTTGCTGAAATTTGGCATGATGATAGCTTACATTCCCGATTAACATATAGGCATATTCTTATCTCAAAAATCCTTTCGGGCTCCGCCCCAGTGGCTCTATAGTTCCCCATGTTAACCTTATGAGTATTCATATTATAAGGGAATTAAAGAATTTAGTCAGCTGTTTCAACTAAAAAGTTGGTTCTATGATATGCAAAAGCATTAAAAACTTACAAGTATTACCAACAGGGTGCAGCACTATTTTTTTTTTTTATTTATGACAACAGCTAATTTGCAACCAAAAGGTGAGTGAGCGTAGCGAACGAACTTCAACCTGGAGGCGAGTTAGCGTAGCGAACGAGCTAACCTGAAGGCAAGTGAGCGCAGCGAACGAGCTCCAACCTAAAGGTGAGTGAGCGTAGCGAAGGAACTTCAACCAGGATGTGATTGAGCCAAGTAAAAGAGCTCACTTATGAAGTAAAACGGGGCAAAGCCTGCGGGTAACTTACAGCTAGTAACAAAATATATACAAAACAACAGCCATAAATTAATTTAGCAACCGCAAACACAACAGGAAACTTAATAAACAAACAGGAAACACTAACTGGACACAGATGTGTCCCTTTAAAGGCACCACAAAAAAAAACTGAACTTTACTGAGGCCCTTAGGCAGCCACTAGCTTAAAAAGGCACTGGCACATCTGTTAAAAACAGGAGCTGAAGTGCTGAAGAAGTCCACATGAGCAGTAGACAGCACCACAAGATCAGCCAGTCTACGTCTTATGTGAAGAGGTTGGATACCTCTGAAGTTTTTCAATTGGTACATCGGTTACATAACCAATCCGGATACCCAGCATCCTAATGAAGCGAGCTAGGTGATTCAGATTTTCGGTGCTTGGTTAATCTGAGTCAAAAATTTGGTTGGTGGCCACAGTGGAACCAGGAAATACGCCGCTGGTACTGACTCGGTAGCAAAGAAACAAGTCAGTCGTTGTTATGGAATCGTCTGATGAGAAATTAACGTGTAAAATTATAGCGTCTGAAACTGTTGTGAAGTTTACAGCCAGTGAAAATGGTGTTTATGATATTATCTCTTTTCCTGTAGCTAGCAATGATAGAGTTATTTCTATATTGCATTGAATGGAGCCCGAAACCACCGAAACTTGGACATTGTATTGTAAGAAACTGGTGTAACCTACATAAAAAAAATGCTGAAGACCGTTTAGTGGTAGGTAACCCTAAAAATAAGGATGAAAAAAATTAAATATTAAAATTATATAAATTAAATATATTTTACTATAAAAACATAATTTATTAAACTAAATAGTATGTTTACGAGCAAAATCTGAATCGGAATCTGAAACCAGAATGAAGAATTCATTCCGGTAAGCAGGTGCCTACACGCGGGCTCGGTAACCAGCAGCCACTACGGCCACTTCCATTTGAATGCAAGTGCCATTCCTGCCGCCAAAAATCTGAATCGGCGTGCACTCTGGACTTACCGTAAGCTAGGCTTTCTCTTGATAAATTGCTCTCATTAAATTCGTTGTTTTGTTGTTTATTTTACAATGATCAATCAATTCTTTCTGATTCTATCTTAAACACATGCCAGTGTTTTAGATATTTCTAATAGTATAAAACAAACTTAGAATTGCAAATAGTACAACTTAAATAGGAACATCACACTAGGATTAACCCTCCGAGTGTCATGCGTCGATGCAGCGACGCGTAACACACTTTGTGTAGTGTCATGCGTCGCGGCAGCGACTCACGAACACTGTTTATGGCGAAGGCTCTATGACTGACAAAATCGGATTGAACTGGATCGAGTTTGGTATCGTTCTTTTCATTATATTCTAAGCTTTCTCCAGAGGTCTGTCTCTAAGCGCTTTATGTTCTCCGAGCCGATCGTAATTGTAGCAGACAGCTGACGTGCGTATTTGTAAACAGGTTAGTTAACCTCGGACCGATGACTGATGTGTTTTATTATGTTTATCATTGTTTTAGTGTTAAAAATCAAAAGTAGTGATATACGTGGTGCATTATAAGAAGATTTAAGTGATTTTGAAGGGCTGGTTGATGATCCTGAAGAAGTAGGTAGTGATATTGATGTAAATTATCAGCCAGATTCCTAGCTATGGTTAGGCTATGCATTCTTAGCTAAACGCTATGTACTGAAATCTGTTTTTTGCCCATAACTTATTTATTTGCAAATCTACTTCCTTATATTATTATATATTTGTAATCCTCATAAAATTTAGAACAAAGTGGCTATTTTCAAATATTTATAGGCCTATAATTTATACAATTTCATTGAGCGCGAACCATATTTTTTTTCAATTTTTCCAAAATAATTCTTATTTTTACCTAAAAAATTTTTTTTAAACAAATATTCCTTAGGTTTTATGTATGATATTGAAGCCCATTATTTTCCAAACAAAATGCTATATAGAACAGTAGAATTAACATTGTTTTAAGCTTTTCAGATCGGTTTTAATAAAACCTTGCAAATGCGCCAAAAATAGGCGGACATTAAGGCCTAAACTATGGACACTCGGAGGGTTAAACTAGGCTGCAAATACACAAGATTTCTCAAACATGTATTAAAACATTTAATCATGATGTTGTAATAGCATTATTTAATAGGCCTACAGTTATTACTGATCTACATTTCATGACTAAGTCAAGTACCTAGTTAAAAAATTTAAAAAGGTTCCTTAACAATTTTTCTAATTTAGGCTATGTACGTAAAAAATCACATAACTTAGGTACGTTTCTTGACAGTTTAAATAAAGTATGGTAGATTCTTATTCCTATATTTAATGTTATTAAACCATCTGATTTCTTTCAGATTGTCGCAATGCCCCATGAAATAGTTTATCCTCAGGGCTGTCGGCCCATCAATGAAGAGCTGGGTTCAGATGAACTCATTCGCCGTCTTAAGGTAAGTTCACATAATTTACTTATTGTCACTTCTCTCCAAATATGTGCAAATTTAATGATTTCATAATCTCTTTAGCTATAATACTAAGCTGGTTTACATCGGATCTTATAGTACCGGTAGTTGTAGCCCACTGTTGGGGAAAGAGGTGTAGACAAACTTGATTTCGGAGCTCTACAGAAAAGTATCTGTTACACTGTTTGAAAAGCACAGAGTACATTAGTTTTCTTTGTTTCGTTCTACGGATTCATAAAAACAAACGTACGTATTCATTTAAAACAAATATTTTTTTTCTTGTTTTAGGAATTTTGAATGCTGGCCAGAGATGGCACATTTGCTCCATTATATATGCTTCCTTACAAATATACAAATTGCTGCTGACTATTTTGTTGCAACCGTATTACTGTCAAAACACATGTAAAACATCAAAATACAATACAACTCAAAACGATAGCGCTATTATACCTAACTGTGCCAAGGTTAAAAATTGTTCGGAAAGGATTGGTTGAAAATTGATCTGTGCTTTTACAGACGCTTGCCCACACGCTCCAAGCGATGGGCCAAGACGAGGGAATGTACCAGCAGTATATACCTCTGGCATTACATCTAGCAGAGGAACACTTTTTGATGCATCAAAGTAAAGATGTACAACTTCTCATAGCGTGTTGTATAGCTGACGTTCTCCGAGTTTACGCTCCGGAAGCTCCTTACAAGGATCCTGAACAAGTCAAGGTATTTGTCATTACTTGAGCCAGTAGCAAAGTGTTACTTTAGATAATGGGTAGAACTAGACATAAACCTCATGTTTTGTAGGCCTACCTAACCAGTTTTAGAAAAAAAATTAAAGTAGTTGAGCCTCTGACAGTGTGCTGATGTTTATTAATAATTTCTCGGTTGAATACCTGACTTATATTTATTTTGTGGAGAGTCAAAATGTATTTTTTATCCCAACAATCAATCCTAAGGTTATTTTAGTCAATTATTTTCTTTGATATTACCTGTCACCAAAAATAGCTACTTTCTGTATGGAGTGATGAAAATGTAACTAAACAATATCATGCTTGGCTACTAGTTTGACTTTTGCCTGGTTTATTCTCGAGAATTCTCAAGTTGTTTTACCTACATGTTACCTAATGCAATAATTTCACAATGGGTTGTGTTACATTTCATTAGTACAGTGCAAGTCTAATTCTGGGTTTCTTCTGTTACAGTCGATATTCATGTTTCTGATCAAGCAGTTAAATGGCTTGAGAGATCCCAAGGATCCAGCCTTCAAGAGATATTTTTATTTGTTAGAAAATCTCGCGTATGTCAAGTCTTTTAATATGTGCTTTGATTTGGAAGATTGCCAAGAAATATTTTGTCACCTGTTTGCACTGATGCTGAAGATTGTCAAGTAAGTAGTATTTTTTAATCTACGAACAAAGCTAATCCACCTCAATTATCGTGTTTCAAGTTATTATTGTAACAAAAACATCTGATTTAAATTTGATCAAACATCATATCTTACATGAGTGAACCAATACAAAAAGTATTTGTCATAAGAAAATGAGCAGTTTTTTCCTGAGCTTCTTTGTTAGAATCCTTTATTTAAAGCCCAAATATTATTACTGCACCAAAACACTTCACTGTAGTATTTTTATTAATTAGCTTTGGAATATTTAAACTTAGTTGCTACATTAGTTGTGTGTGAAAATCATTTCTCCAGTTCTCTCCCAGGTTTGAATTTATTTAAAAATAACCCTGTGTGTTATTACAATCTACCACTCAAATCATTAACAATATTTTGTTTTCAGCGATGAACATTCAAGTAAAGTGAAGAGTTTTATGCTTGATGTTTTGGTCCCGTTGATCACAGAGTCAGATATTGTCAGCAATGAACTGCTGGATATTATTTTGATGAACATTGTCGAGCCTAACAAAACATCTCGGAAAAACGCCTATCACCTAGCCAAAGAACTCATCAATAAGTGCAGTGATACTTTGGAACCGTACATCAACGCCGTAAGTAGCCTATACATAGTCTTCTAACTGCCTAGTTGACCAAGTTCCTCATCTTTGTGATCTAATATTAGTACTTCGATGATGCTATGTTAATTTTATTGTCCATTATTAAATTTTCGATTTAAAACAGTTGTAGTTTTGGTTCTCAATAATTTTTTTTTTACTTTTGTTTCTTTTCTAAAGAAACTCTTTGTTTGTGGAAACAATGTATATTTTAATAAATGTCTCATATTTGCTATAAGTAGGCTACAAAAACCTTTTCTACCAGTTAATAGACCAGACAATCAGTAAATAAATATTTTTGACCCTAAGTCTTAACCCTTTAAAAAGTACACAATTTAAAGAGAAGCACTTTGCTTAATGTTCTGCAGAAATTAAACGGTCCAAGGTTTCTTGTATTTATGTTTACAAACAGCTAAAATAAATAAGTTCCTAGTATTGTTGGGATATTGATCTGTTGGATTTGTCATTCCATCAACTGTCATTAAATACAGACCTAGTATTTGTCCTTGCTATACAAGGATCCAAGGATGGTTCTGTATTGAGAAAAAATTGTATAACTTCCTATCCAGAAAGTCAACACTAATATAAAAAATACCAACTGTGTGTGTGTTTGTTTCAACTGTGAATCTTGTTCTGATTTATTTTGGTTTATTTGGGAACACCTAAACATAAATAACATTATTGAAAAACTTTCTGTTGAAAGGGTTTGCTGAAGTGATTGTTCACTGACAGCATTGATCTATAAAAAGTTCTTGCTTTGTACCACTTTGCCAGATTACATCCAGGCCTACTTCGTCCATTGAAACCGATTGAATTAGGACCACATGGTACTTTCTTTCAATTAACCTCATTAATAAAAACATCTTGAGACAATGATTTACTAAAAAAACAATAGTACTGCTGATTAATACAATAATAATTGGCTCTACAACTTATTTTCATAAAGCACTTAAATATCACAAGAAATGTATTCTTACAGTTTTTCAACCAAGTGCTGATTCTGGGCAAGGAGGAGAAAGGTTTGTCAATCTGCAACAAAGTGTACGACCTGATATACGAGCTCAACAAGATCTGTCCGAGTGTTCTGCTGGCCGTGCTGCCGCAGCTCGAGTGTAAACTGAAGTCCAACCAGGAGCAAGAGCGGCTGGGAGCTGTAGCGTTGCTCGCTCGTATGTTCAGCGAGAAGGAGTCCGTACTGGCCAGGAACCACCATCAACTGTGGCGTGCGTTTTTGGGAAGGTTGGTCAAGTTTACATTCTCCCATTCAAATGAGGACAAGGTGTTGACTTGGTGTTGCTCTGCGTAGACTTAACGCGTACACATGACCCCTAGTTGATGTCTGTGTTTGCACCATCATTATTGATGTTGTTTCAAATTTTACTGATAGAGTTGTCCTGTTTTTCAATTTTTTAACCGACTTATAATATTTTTGTTGGGCCTGTTTACCTGTTTTCCATCATGTCGATCTCTTATTTGAATTTTTGCTCAGCATCCTACACCATCTGTTCGTTTAGCAGCAGTTAATGCTGTTTTTACTAAATGGTAGGTTTATGTTGCATTTTGTTTATACTATACTTATTTTTGCAATATAATAACATGAATACTGTAATGTAAAGATGTTTCAAGCTCATATTAGTTTTTATTCCACTCTACTTAAAAAAAATACATTTAGTCTGTGATTTTTTTAAACTTGTTTTCATATACATTTTTATATAGGCCTACACCCAATAGAAAAAGCCTACATCGTCATCAAGCCCATTTTCAAGTGTAACACCATTTGTCCTAGATTTTCTTTTATCACTATATTTCTGCCTTCAACTTGTAATTAAATATATGTTGTTTCAGATTCAATGATATCAGTGTCACCATTAGAATAAAATGTGTCCAGTACTCGATGCACTTTTTGATTAATCACCCTGAACTGAGAAAAGATATCGTGGAAACATTGAAACTAAGACAACACGATTCAGACGAAAATGTCCGGTACGAAGTTGTGGCAGCCATCGTATCAACTGCAAAAAAAGATTTTGAAATTGTGTCTCAGAGTGAAGATTTGTTGGATTTTGTAAAAGAACGTACTTTGGACAAGAAGGTTGGTATTCAGAAATTAAGTCAACTTTCTTCTTATACCCCTTGAATGTAGATTCCTTATTTGTGCATCTAAAACTATATGTGAATGCCAATATGTGAATACAATACAATATGTGAATCTTTCTACAAATTTCTTATATGGAGGCTTTAAACTGGACTTAATACTTTTTAAGAGATCTGAGTCACATTGAGTCTTTGAAAATTTTAAAAATCTATCTTGTACCCTGGACTTTGTTATATTAAGGTAAGTTTACACTATGTCTGGCCTTTCTAAAGCTTATTATTGTTAATTGAATGTGTAATTTGTTTCAGTTCAAAATTAGAAAGGAAGCTATGACCGGTCTCTCCTTAATATACAAAAAGCATTTGTCTGATTCTGATGTTCCGCAAGCAACTAAAAAGGCTGTCCTCTGGATTAAGGATAAAATTTTGAAGGGATATTACATGCAGGGCATGGAAGATAGGTATGTTACCCAAAGATTATACACGTTTGTTTACTTCTCTTGTAGGATTATTTAAACACAAATAGTTTTATCAAATAATGCTATAAAACACCATAAAGTCAATTACAATGTAACATAAGTAGGTATGTGTCTATTCACGATACTGATTTTTGAACATTGAAATCTGAATGGAGAATCTATCCTATACCAATACCTAACACGTCTGGGAAGATTTGAAATGCCGTAATCACAGAAGACGATGATAATGTCAACACTTCTGTGGGAGATGTTCAGGATTTTGTGGTGAAGACGGTGGTGACGTTCTGTGACCAGAAAGATGTTCAGGATTTCAGTGATCACAAAAGAAAGTCCGGTACCACCATATCCAAAAATGACTTTGTGTACTGTCCGGGACAGGGGTTGATGTGATGTGGTATAATCATTCCATGTAGAAGATTTTGTACCCTACAATAAAAACAAAATTATCAGTATCAAGAATAGATTTTTCAGATTATCGGTTTTAAGAATCGAAAAATTTTGGTATCCACACATCTAATTCTGTAGTAGAAACAAGTAGAAAAGATAGTTTGATACAAGTCATGATAACCAGTATCTTTTAAACACATTTTTAATATTTTAGGCTGCTGGTTGAAAGATTGCTGAATACTTCGTTAGTTCCTTACACGCTTCCACCTGAGGAGAGGATGAAAAAGTTGTACCACTTGGTTGGCACGATTGATGATCATGCAACTAAGGCATTTGTAGAACTGCAAAAAAGTCAACTGACGTAAGTATTATTTTTTACTGAACTTGTGTCAGTTAACAGGGTTGATGCTCTTAACATAGTTAGGTCAACTTTCTGTGGTAGAAGTAATAGGCACTTTTAATACTTTTTAATTTAAATGGCGGTCATATAAATGTAGGTATTTTAAACCAAATATGAATGGAGATGAGTGTATGAATAGTAGCGCGGTCTTGTAGTCTTGTTACTGACTAAGGCCGACATTTTCCTTAGACAGGACTGTTAATTAATAGCCCATACAGCCAATGGCAACTAAGGAAACTACAGTTTATAGTGGAATCCGTAAAAACCTCCTGTAAAACCTCGTTCCCATGGTCCAGATCATGCTGGTTTGCGAACTCATTCAAGTTTATCCTGCCTTACACCTTTAGACCACATACTGTAGATAACTGTTGGATTTTGGGTAGTAAATTAAATTGATTCTGTTAAAACATAAATGAAAAGTTAAAAATACTAAAATAGTAAATAATTGTAAAAGTTGCCGGTTGCCCTGATAACCATCAATGATTGTTTTATTACAGAGTGCGTAAGAGTGTGGGTGAGTGGCTGGAGATTCACAGGCGACCACCAAGTATGGAGAGAGAAAAGGATATAGGAGCACGACTTATCCAAATATCTCGGTTCCTCCCAGACCCATTAAAGGCTCAGGAATTCCTTGTCAGGTTTTCCAAAAATATGATGAAGGACCCAAGTTTATTGCTCGGTAAGTCTCACTTTCAAAGTAGATTTTATTAATTTAATTCACAAGATGTGCAAATGCCCCTGAACTAGTTAGGTTTAGTGAGTCGGTGGCTCAGTCGGTAGCGTCGCGGTCTTCGGGCCCAAGGCAGCGATGTCGTGGGTTCGGATCCTGGTCACTGCCACTAAAATTTATCAGTACAGTTCACCTTTGTACTGTACCAGCTCACTCCTTGCTTTGCTGTGTAAACGTTCCACGCACGGGCGGTTAGTCTATATGGACAGGCAAAATGCAAGATTAAAAGACATGCCAACCTCTTAAAAAAAAAAAAAAAAAAAAAAAAAAAAAAAAAAAACTATCGGTAATAATGGTTTTAAATACCTTCAGTCATCCAGTTAAAATAAAGCTGGTTTCTGCCACCCAGGTTTCAGCACATTGTAGCGCTATCAGGCTCCAGGGTTTTTCTTTTTCTACATGTTCTATGGCCTACCTACACTTTCAAGGTAAGCTAGCTGCTATCCTCCTTTTTCTTCAATTCAAAATCCTAGCCTAGAGCCTTTCCTTGAACAAAACTCACATGTGTGTGTGCTTGTTTTGTAAATACCGATCTGTAAATGTTTACTAGTTTTACCCGTGTTTGTGTCATGTGGACTATGTGTACTCAACGACTTGTAATGGACTGATTAAATTTCACACTGGAGCCTGATAATATTGCTAAAATTTGCTGAAACCTATGTTGCAGAAAAAAAGACTCTTTGAATCTCACGACTGAAAGTATTTAAACAAGTATTTGTGACATACAAGAACTGTTCTGTTCACACTCCGTAGAGCATCTCCTACCAGGGTTTGTTGTACAAAAAAAATGTTTTCAGCCATTAAGTAGATCACAATAGGCTTGGTCAATACATTATACCCACATGTTTAATGTCACAAGCTGAACCTAAAAGAGAAAACACTGAAAAGAAATCAATAGCTGATAATTTATCTCGATAAAACAAACCGTAGCATTCTACTTTCGAACTACAGAGTGTATACAGACATGTCATTAGTTTGTGCCTGTAGGCCTACAGTTTACAGTTGATATGTTTGTATTGTATTGCAGGCATGGAAGCGTTGGTTCGCCCTGACATGTCTTGTAAAGACTGCACCCACACCACCAGTCTGGTGTTGAAGAAGCTAGGCCAGCCTGTCCAGACCAACTTGTACTACACTACTGTCAAGATGTTGCTGGAGAGGATCTCGTCAGTGATGGTGGACTCAATCGCCATCAGAGTAAGTCCAAGATATACTTATCTGACTAACCATTAGTTTTTGGATATGTGAGAAACTTAGAAAGTTCAATAGACTTAAAAAAAAAAAAAAAAAAAAAAAATAGACTTACACTAGATAGTTCGAAAACAGAGAAAATGGCCAGATGATGTCTGAACTTAGAAAATCAAAAAGAAGTCATTTATTTGGAATAGACAAGACAATACTATATTTTATATTTTTTAAGCCTATATAGAAGATGGGATAAGTTTTTATTTCCTTCCTGATTTTGAGTGCAGGATTTTTGTCACCTCGCAATAAGGGAAACTTTTAACTTACAAGGCACGTCTGATTTGGTTGCCAGTAGCAAAGTAGCAAAGCAGTATTAGTAGCAGTAATCTCATATTATGTAATGTGTAATTATCCAATGTCATCATAACTATAGTCCGTGATCACGGCATGGATCATCATTATTATCTCCCGTGATCGTGGAGACATCATCATTGTTTCCCACAATAGTGGTAATATAAAGATCATCTCCTGTGATAGCAAAGTCATCGTGATCATCGCCCATTATAGGGGCAATCTTATGTGATCATGACGACAACATCATCGTCACTCGCTATAGTAGCCAAATTTTGGTCATTTTCAGCAATCGGGGAGACAACATCATTGTCTTCCGCGATCGCGGCAAAATTTATCTTAAATTTTGTATCGCACTTGCACACCCGACCCAAGCTAAATCACCAAATTAATTTGGGCCCCAACCGAGCTTCTGGGCCAACAGTTGGCCCGCCCCCACTCTAAAATTAAGGGACCTGAAAACCCTACAAATAACCCTGTCTGTTATTTCTTAATATTTTTGGCCAATAAGTATCTATATAATTCTTATTCCATCCTGTCCAAAAATGAAATATGCACTTCTTACACCTAAGATTTTGAACTCTTCCTAGAGCCTTTCCTTGGACAAAACTTCTTACCCCTAGTTAGCAATTACATTCGGAGATCAAATATTTCTGAGAAGTGATAAGTAAGTTATTATTATTTTGAAACTGTGTTAAATTTACAACATTAACATGAAGCAATTAAGTTCATAAATCTGACAAATCCCCCTTGATTTGACATAAAGTTGAAATTTCACTTATGTTCCAGGCTCTGATTGGTTTTGTGGAAGACTGCTTGAAAGGTGGAAATCTGATTGAAGAAATAGGACTTCATCCTAACAATGCTGGTGAACGAGGCCTTAGACTACTTGTGGTAAGTGCCTCTGTCTTCCCTTGTTCACTCCCCTATATACAGTAAGTCTATATGGAGGAAGTAGGCCTATTGTTTTTGTAAAAATTTATGAGTTTGAGTTTTGGGTGGAGAAATCTATTTTGGATCCCACTGAACCCAAAAATGTGGTTTTGAAGTGATGTGTTTGTCTAGATGTGTAGATGTGTACAGAGCTACAGACAACACCTATAGACCGATTTTGATGAAATTTGGAAAGTGGGCACTAATTCAAGGTATCTCAAGGTGTTTTTTTATTCTTTGAAAATTTTAATGGTGATTTTCCTGTAAAAAAAACTACAGAAAATCTAATTTAAGAAATGGACCAAAACAATGTTGTTAAAATTTAGTATGTTATAGACTTTTTAACTCTTAAAAGGACTGTACAACCCTCATTGCTGTAAAAATTACGGTTCAAAAGCTATTGCAACCTTTGTAAATTGCCCCCTAAAATATGTTAGTTACTCCCACCGCATTCCCATGCTAAGGGTTGTTGACAAATGGGAGAAAGTATGTGTCAGATTGCTTGCTGATACCGTTTAATCCAAATAGTATAACTTAATTACTTTATTGAAGTATATTCAAGTTGTTTATATTAAACTATGACAGTTTTTTTTACTAAACCAAACTTGTGTTTGTTTCAGATGCTTTCATACATTTTCCCCCATCATTTTCTACATGAAGACATAATTCAGCATTTAATAAGACTGTTAAGCATGGAAGAGGATTATATTGCCCCACTGGTTCTGACGGTGCTGACCTTCCTAGGGAAATACAAGCGGCTTGGTACGTAACTGTGCCACCAGCTTATTATTATGTTTCTCATTATATGTATCTTAAAGCTAAATACTCAATGACATTTGGAAAATGGTAACTAGGTTGTAAATAAGTCCTTAACAATAATCCCAAAGCCAATTTGATTTTTTTCCTTTATAAAAACTAGGTTGTAAATAAGTGTATCAAACATGAAACTTTTTTGTTATTACTTGGCCTGTACGTACATAGGCTCTCCAATATTATTATTGTTTTGTTAAAAGAAGTGTGTTGAAACAAAGTTAAAATATTCACTGCATTCAAAATTTTGTATTAACACCTAAACCTTTATTAAAGCATAGATAAAACATACTCTCTTAGTAGATTGGTCATCCTTATGGAACAGCTGAAGCCAATTTTATTGTTATTTCAGTAATTTAAAACCTCGTTCAACCAAATAAAACGATCTAATAATTAACAATAACTGGTCTCCTAGTTATATAACCAAACAGTAAAGCACAAATCATGAAAAATAATACATACCCTAAAATAATAGATAAAATAATACCCTAAAAAGTAGAACATTTTAAGTACTTAGGGGTTATCTTATCCAGGGAAAACAAAGAAGAAATAGAAATTCAAAATAGACTAAATCTGGCAAACAGATGTTTCTACGCTTGCAACAGACTGATGTCCTCTAAGTTACTGTCAAAAAACACCAAAGTTAGAATTTAAAGACAATAATAAGCCCAGTATTATTATACGGAGCTGAAACATGGAAACCAAATAAAAAAGAAGAAAAGAAGTTAATCACATTCGAAAATAAGATTTTAAGAAAAATCTATGGACCAATTTATGAAGGTGGTGAATGGAGGAAGAGACACAACAGAGAACTCTACAGAGATCCAGATGTGGTGTGTGAATTTAAGTGTAGAAGAGTTAGATGGGCTGGACATGTTTTACGAAGAGAGGAGCAAAATAAGTTAAAATTAGTTTTACTAAGAAATCCCGAAGGAAGACGACCGAGAGGAAGGCCAAAACAAAAATGGTGGAGCCAAGTAAAGAAAGACATGGAGCAACTAGGAGCAACTGAGGAGGATGCAGAGGATAGAGCAAGATGGAGAGGCTTTGTTGGTGCGGCCAAATATCTTCTTAGATATGCATGGCCCTGAGAGTAAGAGTAAGTAAAATAATAGAGACAAAATTTCCTCTAAATCGCTCCACTAGCGATCAGTGTCGACATACATGAACTAGAAACGAAAAAAAAAGCTTCAAAATTTACAATGGGATGAGAAGTATACTTGTTTTGCTTAGTCTATGACTAAATCTTTACCGTACATTCAAAGTCGATGCAAGTTATTCCCTTAGGTTTGCATCATCAACGATTTTGACTATCACGATCACTCAGTCACTCATTATCGTGGATAATCGGGAGTCTACTGTACTATGAGAGCTGACTAGGGCATAGTTTGCTTCCCTAGTGGGTCATTCCATGCCAAATCAACCAATGGGTTGGACATTGACTTCTTAGATTTGCTTGATTTTTTGTATGCAGGTTCTACTTACCAAGACTAGTAAAAATATAAATTTTTTGATTTTTCTGACTTGGTTATTGAGTTACAAAGCTTTAAAAATCTGAAAATCGACGTTTTTGAGCCGCGTTTTGAAATCGTTAATATTGTATAACTCAAAAACTATTCCACTTAGAGAGTTAAAATTTGTGGGATTCTTTTTAATTTGAAATGCCCTTTATTTTGATATGTCACATGCCTATATTTAACAAATGTCAAAATTTTTGAAAAAAATTCAAAAACGTTTTTTGAAATTTCCAAAATACGCCCCCTTGAATTTTTTTCATAAAAAAGTATGTGATTTGTATCTTAACTGACTACATGTAATGAAAATTTCAGAATGGGATACAAATGGGTTCTTATTTTTTTTAAATATTTTGTCATAATACCCTCTACACATGACAATGGGGCCATTTCATGTTACAGCGTGGTACAGTTGTGTTAATATCCTAAACAGATAAGATTTTGTAAATAGTTTTTTTACAGCCATATTATTTTTTTAAGTTACTTAATTTGTAGGCCTACCTCAAATTTTATCCATCAGCATTTTGTAATAATTGATGATGATTGATTGACCTTGTTACAAAAGAGATTCGAACCTTCTGGTGTTCGGTGTTGTATTGCATCCGTTGTTAATGTAAACCCAGTTTCAATAAGGATAGTAGTAAAGTCATAAGTTGGTATGTTTTATTAGTTTATTTCTTAATCCATTAACCAGTAGAAGTAAAGGTAGCCTAAACCTTCAATTCAATCTGCTTATATATTTCTCCATAGCGAGAGAGGAGTACTTCATCTCATCGGTACTTAAGGCATATGTTCTTCCCGTTGCTGTTGATGGATCCACTTTTTGAAGTAGGGCTTCTCCAGGCATCCCCAATACATTCCTTGGTTGTGGATAGAAGAAACTCCGGGCTGGTCCCTTAGGGTGTAAACAGTTTATTCTATATATATATATATTGTTGATTTTTTCTTCTAAACAAGCAAGCCACTAAGAGTTATCGTATGCCAGTTCATTCTCACTTTTATCACACACAGTTTATGACACTATATTCTTCAAAGCAGTCAGTGTTAGTTGGTACGAATCAGAGAAATATTTAGGCACATCCCTACAATTGCTTTAGAAAGTGGGTTACTGTTGATAGATGCTTGATGTGAGACAGTTTCTGTAGTAAAAAGCACAGATGATTTTATTGATGATTTTTTGGAATATTAAAACTAGAGGTGTACGGATAGTGAAATTTCATTTCGGATCTGATTCGGATTGTATAGTTGAGGCTCGGTTCGGATCGGATCGGATATTGGGAGGTTCGGATATTTTCGGATTCGGATAGTTCGGCGCGGTTAATAATAAGCTGCATATGTATTTTTAACCTATAAAACAATGTAAAGCTGTGTAAATAAACTTAAATGATGATTTTGAATTATAGAATTTCAAATTAGCCAAGTCCACAGTTTTCTCTCTCTTGAAAATCACAATTCACAACATTTATTTTCAAAAGTTGGTTGCTTGAATTAAGTACACTAGCAGCCGAAATCTTCACACAACACCTTAGCTCAGCAGGACTGATGTCAAACGTTTGGGCTTGTTTGCTTGAGGTTATGTTTTATGTTGTTTCCTGGTTCTCACAAGACAAGGAGTTCGATCTCAAGTTTATTTTCACATTGTATTTCCTTACGTTTTTGGAACGGATTATTGGCCATAAGTGGCATTTTGCGGGTTTGCCAAGTTTAGAAAACATCACTAAACTCACGATTTGATGTTGGGCAATTAGGCTTTATAACTCTGTAAAAGGTGTGTATCCCTGAATTTATAAATTGCATTCTACACTTATTCACTGCCAAACATAATTCAGTAGAACCTTGATGAAACACTAGCCTACATAACTTCATTACCCCAAGTAAAATACCAAGATAATTTTTATAATTGTATTTGAGTCGTATAATCTTAGTTTGTTAAAAATGGATTGTATGTTCAACAATTAATTGCAGTCCATTATTGTTAAGCAGTATGGTCCCAAATTATTGTTTTTGATTTTTTGTCTATTGTTCACCCCCAAGAAGGTTCGACCCTCATTAGTGCCGCTCGGCTGCACTCAGTGGGGAACCCAATACCACAAATCAATCTTTTAAATGAATAAAAATATTTGGTAATAATTGTTTTATTAATATTCACCTTGAAATTTCAATAAATTTGTTGTAAAATTTGACAAAAATCGGCCATTTTGACCGATTATTAATACAGTACCAAATACCAATAAAGTACATTCATTGGTAATTAAATAATAGGTACAAATTTACCGATTTTTGTCAAGTTTTACCCCCTGCTGTGCGCTATGTCACAAAAGCTGATAACGACATGGGTGATTAGTAACCATGGCAACTTGTTGAATACGTGATGAAGGGAAACCCAAGAAATAGAAGAACAAAGAGAAAGAATAATGACGTTGTTATCTTTATACCCTTTTTACAATTTCTGTTATTGTTATCTTTATGTAAGATTTTATGATTTTGTTTTATAGGTTTATAAAATAATTCTTTTTAACTACGGGAATATCAATTTATAATTTATCAACGTGCTTCTCTTCTGAAACAGCAATACCGGATGCATAATAAAGGTCAATGACCTAAAATATCACGATTGTGCAATATTGTATTTTGATGTTGAAATTAAAATCACGACAAAAGTTTGTATATATATCCATGGTCTATCATTTAATATGTACACAATCAATGCTAAATAATCGTGGTTAGTTCTAACTTTATTTATTATTATTTAAAGTCTCTACACAGTAAGACAATCCAAAGTCAAACCGGGCAATGAATACCCAAAAAACAACGTATTTTGTCCTGTGATTGGAATACCACTCGCCGGCCAGTCCTAGGTTTAGGGAAGTAGTGCAAGTCTATATATAGCTTCAAGGTCTTACCCACCCCTTCCCCTCCGGTCCTACTTGACTCACTACCCGCGCTCCTTTCGAGGTCATTGCCCAACCCCTCCCACCCTTCTATTGTGTTGCCTTTCTATTGTTTCTATTCTGACTTTTTTCGGGAAACATAAAATCTATTGTTTACGTAATATCACAGTAGTAGGCTAGATTTTTCTACTTTGAAACAGTACTGTAAAAAGAAACGATTACGCAGCGCCCCTAGTATCAGGAGCAAGACAAGCACGAGTTGACTTTCATTTGACCATGGTAGTTCTTTTCTGCTTTATATCTGTTCGTTCCAGATGAATCTAATCGTAAAGCAAAACAGCCGATAACGACTAAACTAGTTATCAGTATTGCATCATACGGCTTCTTTGCCGTTTGCTGTTAGGTCGTTGGAAGTATTGCTGTAATTTTGTCCTGGAAAACTAATGAGGGTTATGGAGATTTAGTTTTCTGTCCAAAACGTCAAAATATATTGTCTATCCGAAAAAGTCGGATATATAACGGATAGTGTCGGATATCGAATTTGGGCTCGGTTCGGATACGGATATCCGACCCGATTTTTCGGATATTCGCACACCTCTAATTAAAACTTAAACCCCATTCATTTTTAGCAATTCAGTAAAAATAATACTGTACTTCAATGAAATTAAGGAGACCCTAACTGAAGGCCATGTTAACTGTGATTTTGCTGAAAACTATTTTTTTGTAGTACAGACACCAACCAAGCGATAATTCACCCATTTATTATTTATTACAAATGGGACGGAAAAGTAAAAAATCTTTAGTCAGTTATGTCATTATATCAGATTGTTTGGAACAAAACACTGCTGAATTGTATGTTTAAAAAAAAAAAAAAACATGTTGGAATCTTGAAACAAACATTATCTTAGTAGCCATACGGCCTATTGTAAGATTATATTAATCAATGTTGTGTTTTCAGATGACGTGGTCCCCAATGAAATAAATCAACTGATTCCCATTTGTAAGAGGTTTGTGGAGACTGGAACTCCCAAGCAAGCGAAACATGCGATAAGATGTTTATTCAAAAATGTTTCAAACAATGTTGAAGGGCTGTTTTCTGAAATGCTAGAGGTAATATACTACTTAAAGCTATGAACTGTTTAGGTATACAGAATAATCATAAGTGTTGAAATTGACCTGGTGAGATCTCTGAGGAGGGAAATGTATGGGTCCCTGGAATAGTGCTTTCAAAACAGGTTTGAGCTTATTGGAAATAATCTTTGGAATATGTGGTCCAAGACATTTTATGTGCTCCAAAAAGCTGACATAATTTACACCTAGGAAGGTTAAAATATCTATATTTATAGTTGATTCATTAAATTGTAATTCAATTTAATTTGATCAGCAGTAAAACTTTATCAAGTAAAAAAAAATATATATATAAATAGGTTACGTACCTTACGTTGTCAATCCTAGGATAGTCTTTTCAAGCGACTAGTTTCGAAACTGACGTTTCATTTTCAAGCCTTGTCTAACATAAAATTATTTGAACATAATGTCGTCGTCAAAATACACAAATACACATTTAACACGCATAAATACATTAAGTAACAGAAAGACGCGCGGCCGGCCATAACACGCACGACGACACGACTCAACTGGCAGTCGGCGTTAGTTTGAGTGGCAGTCGGTAGTTGAGTCGTGTCGTCGTGTCTTTCTATAGCCGGCCGCGCGTCTTTCTGTTACTTAATGTATTTATGCGTGTTAAATGTGTATTTGTGTATTTTGACGAAGACATTATGTTCAAATAATTTTATGTTAGACAAGGCTTAAAAATGAAACGTCAGTTTCGAAACTAGTCGCTTGAAAAGACTATCCAAGGATTGACGATGTAAGGTACGTAACCTATTTTATATTGTCTTAAATCAATCCTGGAGACAATGCTCAATAAAAAAAAAATAGATCAAAGCAAAGTTACTTGTGTAACCTGAATGAATAAGTCGGTTTTGGTAAAAATTTGGCAACTTCATTGGATTAAAACACATCAACAGCAGAAAATATTGTCTTACTCAACCCAAGCTTGGTTACAATATGTTTTACTTTTTCCGTTTATGTAAGTAGCATATTTGAAACAAGAATTTTTTTGGTGTTTTATTAGACATTATTAGAACAAATGTTAGTTGTGTATAGACATGCTTATAATTTGTTTTGTCAAGTGTAATTTCTCAGAGGTAGAACAAGTGTGTCAGTTACTCTTACAATTTAATCTTAACTTTGGTTTCCCTTTTCAGAAAGTAAAGGAGAACCTAACACCTACTTCACCAAACTACAGGACAGCAATTGTAGCACTCGGTCACATTGCCTATAACCTGCCAGACCACTACCCTGTTCACATCAAAAACTTGGTATCTAGAAAGGTACGATTCTACCAACAATTCAACTTAGCCTTGATCTATTGGTATGACAAAAGGTTTGGATTACATACATTCAGACTTACCTGTAGGTTTGATTTAGTTTTTGATAGAAAGAGATGTCTTGCCTTTATAGTGGATGAGCCTTCTCAATAGGAAATGCATTTATATTAGGGGTCTGCGGTGCACCGAAAAAGTCACAGTACAAGCTTAATTACCTCAACAGTAGTTGGTTCTGAGCACATAAAAGTCTTATCAGATGTTTGTTTATGATCTTCATGGTTTATTACTAGGGTGATGATGCAATAAAAAACCCATTAGCAGTCCCAAATCCATTAACATTTTATCACGACAGTAATTGTTGTATTCAAGTACTTCCAAGTAGTGATGGTCAAAACCAGAAATTTCGAATCTCAAAACCGAAACCGAAACTTTAAAAAATCGAATCCCGAATCTCGAATCTCAAAACCTATACACGAAACTTTTTTGCTTAGCTGGTTACAAAGGTCAAGGTTACAAAAAATACACATAATCATAAAATGTTAAGTATGCAATCAAAACTGAAAGAGATCAACTCCTGACCATGACAAAACATAAATACATGTGAATGTGACTGATAATCTTAAAATCCAATACAACATAATTTTTCATAAACAACCAACAAAACAAATAATTAAACTTCTAACACCAACATAAACATGAATATTAAATTAATTAGAACAATTAGTGGTCAATATTTCTTTGCGTTTAGTAAATATTGATGTGAAACTGAATTGTACCAGTTATAGTATTTAAGATACCTTTTGAAGTTCAGAATAAAAGTCGCTTGTTTCATTACTGTTAATGGTAATGTTTGCTCTGTTGCTACCAGCTTGTTTGGAAACAGTGTTAAAAACAATAACAATGGCACAAAAAAATGTCATCAGTTTCAAAAATAAAACTGCCAAAATCTTCAATTTCAAAACTTTTGAATCTCGAAACTTTGTAATCGAATCTCGAAACCGAAACTTTTCCCAAGTTTTGATGGTTTTGAGATTTGAGATTCGGTTTTAACACATCACTACTTCCAAGAACTGTTGAGTTTTATCACTTTTATACGACTTTCTCCACTTCTATTTTATCATAAAAATAATAGTTTTATGATGACTGTAAATTTTATCTCTAACTCAGTCTATTTTCGTGAATATTCAGTTTGCCCACTGGCCTTTGCCTACTGCCATAAAACTGTTATGGCTTCGTATTAAAGTTGTAACTAATCTACAATCTTATTTTATAAGTTAAGATATTTGTTATGGATATTTTACCTTTCTATTGATGAAACCACAAGCGTAGTAGTTGTTGTTTGCATAATTTGTTTTCCGTTATGCAAGCCTACTCGGTCTTAAATTATGTCATTGTATGTTCTGTATCTTGTCTTATATTTTGTTGGATGTGGCTGTTTAACCCTTAGAGTGCCAGGCGAGAAATAAAAGTAACGCTCAAAAAATGCCGATGATTTTTCCCGAAGGTCGCGCTAAAAATGCCGAGCGCGATCTGGCGATTTTTAGGTTAAAATTTCGTAGTAACTTTCGACTCAATGTTAATATATGGGTTAAAAGAATCCGAGTATCCATTCGGTTGTTATGACAACTGTTCGATCATTACGAAACGTCCGGTCAGCCGGACGTTGGCACTTTTGGCTCGTTCTAAAAACGTCCGGTCGGCCGGACGTCGGCACTTTTGGCTCGTTTTAAAATGTCCGGTTCCCCGGACGTTGGCACTCAAAGGGTTAAGGTTTAAATGTTTTTGTTTCCTATATTTTTTATTGTGTTGAAAGTACTTTATGCAATCTAAATCTTATGAACTAGAATTATGATAGTGATTTTGCTACCCTCATTGTAACCTACTCAATTTATATAGGCCATCCTAAATAATTAGGTCCAGGCCTGGGTCTTTTGACTCACTTTGGAAGAGCTTTCAAATATACTAAGAAAATTGGATTGAGTCTGAGATAATGAACTAATGATTGATATGTGTGGATGTTAACTTTGTAAATGAAAAGACAATAATATTACTCTGTGGTAATCCAAATTTTAGTTTAAGAAAAAGAGATGTATCCATCTTATAATTAGTTTTCAAGCTGATAAAAAAGATGCTCTTTGCCATTACTTCATCATAACATCCTGTTTTTCATCGTCATCTCTTGAATGTGAACAGCTGGCAGCTACACTGTTTTTGTACTGAATGCTTTTATATGTTTTTACAAGCTTAAAAAACAATTAGACATTGTGTTGGTTGGAAATAATTTATATCATGGCTATTCAAAGTCTCTCAGAGTAAAATAGGTAAAGCCTTTATCTTAATTGTGATTTTTCTTGACACAATCCTCGTAGGAGTAAAGGTTTTAATAATGTGTGGTACAGTAATTGTTGTTAGAAAACCATGAATGTAGGATACTATCCATTTTCATAGTAATATCAAAGAAAGAAAGAAATATTGCAATGGTAAAATCAAACCTATTTTGGCATAGAATCTTTTACCACGAATAGTTCCTTAATAACATAAACTTACTATCATCAACAACGAATAAGATCTGTAAACAAAAATAAGGTTCTACTGCAACCAATTTGTATGTGAAACAAATCTACGACTCAATATCATATGACCAACTAGGAAGCTCTCATTCGGAAGACACACTCGGAGGAGCTAAAGACTACAGCCTTCCCATCCACCACACCACACAAATCAGTAAGAAACCGTCGTATATTGGCTGCAAAATTCTAAATTCCCTTCCATTGTACACCAAAAAAAACTTTCAGGAAAAAAACTGAAACAGGAACTTTAGAACTGGCTTGTAAATCAGTGTACTCAATCAAGGAATTTTTCAACTTAAGATAGGCCCTAATGTAAAACCAAACAAACCAAATAATTATTGTAAAATAAGAACAACTTTCTATTAGCCTACATGTATGACACTAATGTATTTCTTTAAAAACTTACAAAAAAAGATGTTTGTCTATTATCAGTATGTGTATTGTTGTGCAGATTGTGAAGGAGCTGCTGGTGAAGGAGAGTGACGGAGGAGGCCAAAACAATGATGATGATTGGTGTGAGGAAGACCAGCTACCAGAGGAGACTAGGTGCAAGGTAGACACTCGATGATATAATTTACACTTTATCAACGTCACTAAAATTCGCAGCGAGATGCCGTACTGCTAACCCACTGGTGCTCAAGTAGTATGTCGAATCCAACATGCGAAACCTAGTCTCATCGTGTGTCTCATAGAGGCAATCGACTCAATCTATGGTGGAAATAGGATGGAATGTTAGCTCAGTTGGATACGAACCTGCACATGAAGAGACCTCAACACTACACTCATGAGTGCAACGCCTTAGCCAACTGAGCTACCAGCTGACCGGGACGAGTACCTCTGTAAGCACACATCGCTACAAGCGCTCACAAGTTAGATTTGACAAACTACTAAGCACCAGTAGATTAGCAGCTATCTCACTGTGAAATGCGGTGTTGTGCTACAAACCTGACCATAACTATCACTAACATAACTGGTAGTACTATGTTAATTTATCATTCTAACAGGAAATAAATTCTTACTGTTTCAGGGTGTGAAATTTAAAAAAATGGAAAATATTCTTTTGAGGTTTTAGATTAATTTAATTTTTTGTTCCAGATTGAAGGCCTGAAAGCTATGGCAAGATGGCTACTGGGTTTGAAGAATGACAAGATGTCGGCACAGAAAACCTTCAGAATGCTTGCAGCCTTCATGACCAACAAAGGAGACCTTCTGCAGTCTGGCAAGCTTAGGTGAGACGCACCAATGATTTTATGTAATGGTTTTATGTTATGTAAGATAGGAATAAATCAAGACAAAAGTACTCAATAAAATGAGACAGTGTACACCTCATTATGCTCTAAACAGTTTTGAGAGCGAATGGCTATGTGGAATAGTGTTGGCCTTATGTTATGAAGCCATTGGTAGGGATGCTGCCAAATGCCAATAGATTTTAGTTTTGCGATAGTGATGTTACTTGGTGGTTTACAGTATATCTTTAGCTCCTGGTCCACTTATAATAGAAATAAGTATAGATCTCTCCCTAGAGGAAAGATCTTATTTCTACCATAAAAGGTCTTCAATTTGAATTTAAGCCATAAAGTGAATTTAGCATTTTTCTACATTTGTTATCTATGGTAGTTCATGGGGGCTGAATTCAATAAGTTTTATGAGGTTTGAGTCATTTACCACTGTTATTTAATTGATCAATTTTTAATACCAATATAAACAAGTATTATCTATTAAAAAAACATTTAAAAATTTCCTAAAAGATTGGCTCCGCAGAAGTGGTGTTTTGACTGAGGCTATAAAATTATTTTGGTCCAAATTTAAATCATCAGTTGACACCGCAACATCACTTAGATACAAGCAGTATTTAAATAGTATCTTGCCATGGTGGAAGGAAAATACATAGGTGTGCTATACCTGTCATATGCTGACATCACCCAGATTGCAAACACCATTTAACTGTTTAGAAAAAATTATGTAAACAATAACAATCAAATCAAAACAAATATATTATACTTATATGGCAATACAATCAGGTGATTTTTTGTTTGCAATCTGGGTGACGTCAGTATATGACGGGAGTTGCACACCTATGTATTTTCCCTCCACCATGGTATATTGCCATTGTCTAATACAGAAAGATGTCTGTTGGATACCTAACAATTATAATTGGGACTGTGTTGTGATGTTAATTGTGATCTGATTTGTCATTGATACAGCAAAGCTGAGATGTCGTGGCTGAGGCTGGCTGCAGGTTGTGCCATGTTGAAGATCTGTGAACAGAAAGGTGTAGGAGACCAGTTTTCTCCTGAACAGTTCTACATCCTGTCTCACCTTATGATTGTAAGTAAATAAAAACAAACAGTTCTAGAGAACAATAGACCCCAATTCAATAGATTGAATTTCCTACATTTCATATTACAGTAGACCTTAACGGGACCAGATCTTGGTCGTATAATTCAAAAGGTCGGTTAAAACGGGCAATTCCTAAAAAGTTAAAAAATTGAAGTAATATTCATTTGGAATTATTATAATTATTATTCTGAAGCCATGCGTGCATTATTTACAACACAAACTAAACTATCCTTTTTTCCTTAACTTTTGACAATAGAAAAGTTACAAATAAACCTATCTGCTCTCATAACAAGGTCGGTTAAAACAAATTGCAATATTTTACAAGCCAGGGCGCATAATCCAATTTTTGGTTTTGTTAACTAGTCATCAGGGGTCTGCTGATCCCCAATAGGCTCGGGTCGTTGCCGGAATTAATTTTCGGGCCAAGCCCCAGACGGGTTATTTATATCAGAGGTGTGCGAGTGGCTTAATTACCGAGCCGAGCCTTAATTCTTGTAATATTTTCACAATCGTGTAAGTGAATCAATTGAAAATTCATGATGTTACTAGTCTCTACCTAATAATACATAGACATGGACATATTTTATTTACACAAAACGTTCTTCATAATGTACAATCCATATAGCCTACAGTAAACTTCCAATTTTTTAGGTAATTGGAGGGGGGCTACCTTTTTTAGATAATTGGAGGGGGGCTACCTTTTTGCACTGAAATATTGACAGTCCGGCCCGCCATTCCTCCAAAATATGACAATGTGTCCCTTAAGTAAAAAAGGTTGGAGACCCCTGACCTAAAGGTTCCGATAATCAGGAGTGTACTGTATAAGAACAGGTATTTTGTCAGAATGATGTTCTTTAAAACAAAATGTGTCGTTGAAAAACTATTTTAAAATAATAACATGTTAAACTTGCAGGATGAGGTACCCCAAGTCAGGGAAACAATGATGATAAAGTTGCATAAAGGGCTAGGACGAGGTTTACCCAACAAGTGCCTGCCGTTGGACTTCATGGGGTTCTACGTCTTGTCTGGTTTTGAACAAGACAAACGACTCCGATCGGCCGCCAAAAGTTTTATGTTCCTCGACATTAACAAGAGGAGAGAGTACGCCAAGACTCTTACAATGGGCTCTTCTGCTTGTGAGTTGAATTATTAAATGCCTTGAATTCATATAGAATGTACGGTTCATATGATGTAGCCTATTCCAACAGTGACTATAAAACTAACAATTTTTTTAAAACTGAATGAACGATGAATTTCATTGCTTAGATGATTGTCTGCACTATTAGATTAGAATTTTGACTCTTTTGTGTACGTTTTCTAGTTATGCATGGAGTTGAGGAATTTTCTTAATTGTCCTAGTTTTTAAATTATATCACACGTGGTTTTCAACTGATTTTAATAAAACTCCCTGAGCATACAGGGTATAGTGGTTCGGACTTCGGTGCGTTAGTGATGGGTGTGATCAAGCATATTCACAAATTTGATGGATTCGATAGCTTTATAAAAAAAAAATTGTAACTATCCTTCAGACAAACATATTTTAACATTCTGAAGAGTAAACTGAAAGGATCTCCATTCAGTTTTCCAGTCTTCTTAAACTCACTAATACACAGAATAATATCACAGTAGGTATAATTTTACAGATTGAGATTAGGCTGCATTAAATTAATTGTAAAAACATGAAAACGACAAACATTAGACATAGGTAGGCCTAGACACAGTGTAAATTTAGCAGTTTCTGCTTTCTTTGTAAGAGTTTACATAGGACGGCAATAGTTGAAGGCTTCAAAAAATTTGTCACAAAAGGTTTCAAACATTTGATCTTCATTCCTCTTAATGTCTGAATGTAAGTTAATCCAATCAATTTCCGACAAACAATTATTCAAATCATTCAACCTTGCCACAGATGTGTTTCTGAATGATACAGCCTTAGTAAGCCTACTTTTTATTGTAACTTTTATTATTTATTATTATATACTTACTATTTTATTTATTAACTAAGGGTGGTTTATAAGTCTTCTGGTTTGCATGCAGCTCTTGCAGTGTATCATTCTTATTTTATGTCCAGGTCTTCCTATGGTATTATCTCATGGGGCAGCTCCCCCATTACCAAGAATATTATTATCTTACAAAAAATTGCCGTTAGAATTTTAGCTGATACCAGACCACGTTCCTCTTGCCGCCCCCTTTTTATTCAGATGAAACTCTTGACAATTTATGCAGTTTATATTTTTCAACCGTGCATCTTTGTAAAAAGAAATTATAAGGAATTTATGTTGAAAAATTACACTCATCAACATAACACCCGACACAGGAATGATCTTCAATATCCTGTGCATAGAACAGCTCTGTATGAAGGATCGCCATGGTACATGGGTAGGAAAATTTACAATAACCTCCCAGATCAAATTACAACTGAAGAAAATATGTTATCCTTTAAAAGAAAACTAAAATCTTATCTCATTCTCTTGTGTCCTTATTCCCTAGATGATTTTATAAAAACTTAGCTTTAGGTTTAATGGATTGATAAAAAAAAATAATTTAGCATAAGGTATTATTAGATAGAAAAGTACTAAGTAGTATTGACATGTCATATGTTTATATGTGAAAATCACAATCTTGTAAATTTATGTGAGGAATAAACATTTCATTTCATTTCATTCATATTGATTTACCTTCAACCTGAATCAACTCAATCAACTCAAGCTCCTCTTGGTCAGTAATGTGCGGATGAACAACGGAGCACTTGAAGTCCGATCCACAAAGGTTTGTAAAAGCATTGTCAAGACATGCTTCTCCTCGAGTAGGCTGGTCGTTAGTATACCAACAGTTATACGACAAATCAATCACAATATTGTATTGTTTAGAGATGGAATAAATGACTATTCATTAACAAGTTTGGTGATGATTTTCCAGGCAGTATAGATAAAGCGATGAGCCAGCTGCCTCACATTCTACCAGACTACATGTTGGTGTTTGCCTTGCCCATCCTGGTCCACTGCCCTCTCTACACCAGTCACGAGGACGTAGAAGAGCTCACCAGGCTACGGACAGTGTTGTGGTTTATACTGGAGCCTCTCATACAGAAGAATGACTCGTACTGCTACGGCTTCTATAAGGAGCTCATTGACAAAATGAAGAACCTCAATGATGCCGTCAAGCCTGAGGATAACAATGTCAATTGTGTAAGTGTTTATTTTAAAAGACTTGTAAATACCTCAAGAATATACAGTGGTACAAATTGAAGCACCAATCATTGATTGGTGTGTGGCAACAAGTCTTAAAATGATTTCAATCAAGTTAGGCCTTTTCTCTGACATGCAACTGTTATTTCCCATGTCTCTTATCTTATCATGGATTTTAAGTAAGAAATAAAAAAAAATAGCCTACATTTAAATTTAAAACATTATATTTTTTTATAAAATTTACATTGTTTTCTGTTTAATAATTTTACTATATGTATATTGTATGCACATTACTGCTTACTAAAGTTGGCTTTGATAAAATTTTAATTTTGTAACCTTGGTCTGCATGTTCTTTTTTTAGAAACTCTGGGCCTTATGTGATTTGTCCATGGACTTATTGGCTCAAAAAACCGTGAACTTTGAGTTTAAAGATTTCCCTGCAGAGGCGAGAATATCACCTATGTACTTCAAGAAAAACGAAGATCCAAACTTTGTCAACACCAAGGTCTACATTCCTCCAGAGCTAATGGTAATTAATACACTTTCATGCATAAAACCAACAAACTCAAATCTCTCCAGGCTGCTGTAATAATAATAATGTAGCTAATGTATAGTAATAAGTAATAATCATGTAGCTTTGGATGGTTTTCATTTGTTGCCTGAGTTTCTATCTTGTAAGACTTAACACTACTAGTTGGATAGCCCCTGGACTATTCCCCAGCTGGATTATAGAGATTCAACTTTGGGTTTTCTACAAAATTAATGGTCTTTTTTTGAATTTGCTTGTGTTGTGTCTAAGTTAGTTGTGTACTGTTGTCAGATGAGCGGCAACGGAAGGAAAGGATTGACCAATGCGAGTGTACACATGTCAACGACAGAGCGGCCAGTGAGGAAAACCACCAGAGGTCGCAAACCTCCGCCAGAGCCTTCAGACACCAACGAGCACGATGTCAAGGTACGTCATATCACCGAAAAATGGCAATGTTTGGTTATATTTGTTGCTGTCCAAGCAAAGAGTTTTCTATGTTTTGATTTCTTGTCCACACAAAAAGTAGTTAATGCAGATATTGATGGATGTATTTAAAACAATAATAAACATAATGATATTTCTGGCCCGAAAAAAGTTTAACGAAAAATCAAACACTATTGAAAAATCCAATGTGTTTTGTTGATTGATTTTGTATTGCTTAGAGTAGTATCTGTGACTCCAGATGTTACTAGACTTCCAATCTTAATCATCTTAGTGTCCAAAATTAAGAGAGAAAATAAATGTTTGGGTAATAGCTCATTATGTAAAATTTAATAAACCATATTCTCTTTGGAAAAAGATGGACTGTCTACGCTGGTGCCTCAAGTAAATGTTAGTAGTAAAAAAATTTGGCTAGCCTACGAGTAAAAACTTAAGGATACTTCAAATAGGTGTGTGTAAATATTATCATGATTTGTTTGTTTACAAGCTGCTTAACGAGGAGGAGGAAGTTGTGTCTACCTTAAGTCAACCTATTGATGCATTGGTAGGTCTAACTCATAAATTTGTGAATGTTATGAAATATTCTATAACTGGTGTTGTGTACATCTTGCAATATTTTACTCTAAATCTGTTTCTCAGTTGTAACTTGTAAGACGTTTTAGCCACCAGTTCTTAATCAGCTTGCTGTATCTTCTATCATTCCATCAGGACACCTCTTTCGTAATACTTTCTGTTTTAGGGCAGTTATATCAGCCCCTCTATAAATTTCTGAAGCTATTTGAAAGGGAGTGTTGCACAACGTCCAAATGATACAAAGTTCAATAAGTGTCACGACGTCCAAAATATAATTTTTGAGCTGTATCAAGGTGTTCAATATAACTATTCAACTGTTGCACGACGTCTACTAAATCTCATTCAAAAGTACAGTACTGCAAGAAACATAGTTTCTCTAGAAGCTTTGGACGTCATGGGATTGGTCGTGCAACAGAGCACTTTATACTCTTACAAACTTAGCAGTAGCACCTCCTTGCTCATACGGAGCAAGGTTAGATTAGGTTAAGATAGGTTAGTATGCACTACATATGGTAAAACAGTACTCACAGTGTGCAGGCGCTCTGGACGTCGTGGGACAGTGCTGAGCTATTAGATATCATACTATTAGCTATTAGATATCATGCTGAGCTATTAGTAGCAACTGCTACTTTTTTTAAGAGTGTTCAGTGCGCTGTTTCACGACAACCAATCTCATTACGTCCAGAGCTTTTAGAAAGACTGTTTCTTGGAGTTACTGTACTTTTGGACATCGTGAGATTTGGACTTCGTGCAGCAGTGTATATTTTATATTGGAAGTCAAGAAACAGCTAAAAAATTATATTTTGGACGTCGGTGCAATGTATCTGTTTGATGACTACCCATTTAAAAATTATTGGTCGAGTTCCCTTCTACTTAGTTCTGAAGGGTTATTGTATATCCCATTCATTTGGGTACACTGCATGCCTTGTACCAAAGATTACATATGCTACGCAAAATAGATATTGCACCTTATGGCAATTTTGTGCCAAGTAGTTTTTGGATGGGGCCACCTTCACGTAGTTGGGTGGTCCCTCAACAGAGGCGCTGTGTCAAGTCTCGATCTGCATTACCATTTAAGTTCCCCGGGTGAGTTCGGTAATGTTCGCGTGCTAGGGATTAACTTGCCTGTACGCAACGCACTCGCCGACCCGTTGTCATTGTATCTACTGTAGTGTGAAAGTGCACAGCTGTCATTAATGTACCATAACTTTATCTTTTTACAAAAAGGGCATTTATTTAATTTAAAATGAAAGTGACCACGTAACAAAGAGCTAAAGGATACTAAAGGTTTACTGATATAAACATGAATTAATAAAAATCTTCAAAAATAGCAGTCACAGTGATATAATAAGCTTACAATGTTATACTAGTTTTTCTGCATTTAATTTTAACTTTAGAGAACCCTTATCAATTTAGAAATGTATAAATCCTACAAGTTTTAATAATCAGGGACTATTTGTGAGTTCGTCGACTTTTCTTATTTCGGAATTTTTATCCACAAAGTTTGCTTCCGGATTTCTAGACTAGCGCAATATCTTGCTACTAACTCACGATGAGAAATGTATGGTTAGTCAACTACTACCTAACCAGTCACTGGCTACTTGACCTTTTTAAACATAGCAATATACACATAGTTTGTAGGAAGAACATTTATCTACACAGATCGGCATTTGTTTTCAAACTACGTATTATCTCGTCTTGGTGTTTCATAAGTGCAGTTTGCAACTGAGCTTTGAAGAAAATGTAGAGCATAAGATACAAAACATAGATTTTTGATTTGGATTGTTTTATGTAACAAATCTTTCAACTGACGACTATATAAAATAAATTTAAAAACACATAGTTTTAGAAACAGCGGAACCTTAGTTGTACATAAATTAAAGAGGTTATCTTTACCACGTATAAACGATATTTAGATTGGAAATTGGAGGTCAGTCACACTCTCGCCTTCCCAGTAAGTTCCTGAATCAACATTAAGGCATTGTATTGGCGTAGCCAGGTTTGGATTGGAGCGCCCTGGAGCAGAAATTGCCTAACCACCCCTCTCCAAAATTGAACCCCATAAATATATAGCCTAGGATACTTTAAGGTCCATAAAGTTGGCCCCCCCCATTTAAGCACTAACGTCAAAAATGGTACCAATCGTTAGTGCTACGTTAGTGCTGGTTAGTGCTGAAATCCCCAACGTTAGTGCTCTTTTGGTTCAAGTGTTATTATTAAAAAACTGTGGGTGGGGCCAACTTTATATAAAGTTAGCCCCCCCCAGTACAAATAATTGAGCACTAACGTCAAAAATGGTATTAATCGTTAGTGCTACGTTAGTGCTGGTTAGTGCTGAAATCCCCAACGTTAGTGCTCTTTTGATTCAAGCGTTATTATTAAAAAACTGTGGGTGGGGCCAACTTTATATAAAGTTAGCCCCCCCCAGTACAAATAATTGAGCACTAACGTCAAAAATGGTACCAATCGTTAGTGCTACGTTAGTGCTGGTTAGTGCTGAAATCCCCAACGTTAGTGCTCTTTTGATTCAAGCGTTATTATTAAAAAACTGTGGGTGGGGCCAACTTTATATAAAGTTAGCCCCCCCCAGTACAAATAATTGAGCACTAACGTCAAAAATGGTACCAATCGTTAGTGCTACGTTAGTGCTGGTTAGTGCTGAAATCCCCAACGTTAGTGCTCTTTTGATTCAAGCGTTATTATTAAAAAACGGTGGGTGGGGCCAACTTTATATAAAGTTAGCCCCCCCCAGTACAAATAATTGAGCACTAATGTCAAAAATGGTACCAATCGTTAGTGCTACGTTAGTGCTGGTTAGTGCTGAAATCCCCAACGTTAGTGCTCTTTTGATTCAAGCGTTATTATTAAAAAACGGTGGGTGGGGCCAACTTTATATAATAATTAGGCCCCCGCCAGTACAAATAATTGAGCTTCAAAAATGGTACCAATCGTTAGTGCTACGTAAGTGCTGGTTAGTGCTGAAATCCCCAACGTTAGTGCTCTTTTGGTTCAAGTGTTATTATTACAAAAATGTGGGTGGGTCAAATGTGATATAAAGTCAGCCCTACCCAAATTTTTACCAGTTACTGATAGTATTAAAAACTAGTTACAATTACGGATGGCAAAAGATTTAAATAATTTTAAACACCATATTGAACGAAAAACTTCTTTGTCTAAAAAATAGGAGAGATGTAACTACTTATCACTATTTTATACCTAAAACAGTAAAAAAATTCCCTGTTTTCTGGTATTCAAACCACTAAAACAAACAAAAAAAAATCTAAACCTCAATAGTGTAGCATATGGTTGGAAAGCTTAAAAATGGCGCATTTTTTAACATATTCCGACACTTTCTTGTATACAGGGTGTGAACAAATGCAATAGACCATTGTTTTTTTTTTAATTTTGATCAAACATCTTAATTTTTATCTTTGAATCTATTTACAATGGAGTTTTTACAACTGATTCTCCGTCATTTTCTATTGTTTTTATTCAAAATTTAATGTAGAACACGAAAATGACATTATCTACTCAAATCCATTTACAGGTAATTGAGAAATAGCTGTATTAAGTTTAAAAACATAGTTATTTTTTAAAAACATAAAATAATTCTTTGGGAAGCTAATTTTTAGACTTGAAACCTGTCACACTGCATTTACTTTGTACTTACACCAAAAAAATATTTTTTCACACTGAGTACCAATCACCCTGTATATGACGGGCTGCTTATGTTGTAGTTAGCTGGCCTAAAGATCATTTTTACAGGAACCATAAAATTGTCCTAGCTTTAGTAGGCTACAATTTTTTTAGTGAACCAACAAAAATAAGTATAAAATATAAATTCTTTTTTCACCGAAGTCATGGAAAATAACAAGTACAAAGAATAGTAGTACCAGACCTCAGGTTTTTGAAAGTTTTTGATGACTGATTGATTGATGGTAGAAGTTCATAGCTTATTGTACATCTTCGAATATTGGCCACATCTGTGCACGTTTAATACTGAGTGGCATTTTTCTGGCCCCAGTTGCTATTTTTCATTGGGATACTAAATTATAATACTTTTTAACAACTTGGTTATATTTGATGTTGGACCATTACCTTACACAAACACAAAATTACATTTAAAAAATGTTGATAATAAAACACAAATAAAGAGTGTGATGGAAGGAGCATTGATTGTAAATATTTCAACTCCACCGTTCATAGAACCCATGGTCCAATTTTCTCCTGCCAAGTTTTTTCATTTTAACTTACGGTACTAATTATTTTTAATAAGTTCCATCGTATAACCTGTTGATCATGGAGGTTTTAGGTACAAGTTTTTATCCAATAAAGAAAAAGTATAGTTATGCAAACTATGGTAAATTCATATATTTTTAAATGTTAGCGTGTTTTAATAGTGTGTAAGTGAT